ACACACACACACACACCTAGAGAACTCTAACTGAGGAAAGAAACAAGGGTGACACAGTAGGTTTTAAAAGAAACAAGGGTGACACAGTAGGTTTTACTATATACTTCCCAAAACAGCAAAACTGCTTTATTCTGTTCATTAGAAGTGATCTCTAAATTCAAACACTACTCAAAGTGAGGGTTGAAGGGTGGGGGTGGGAGAGGTTGGGTTTCACATCTTGGAGTCAGAATCATCAAAGACTTAGTGGAAATATTTAAAATCCGCCACAGACTGTTGCTTTGATTCAATTTGACAGACTATTTTGGACATTCGGTGGCCTTTCCAGATGTACTTCTTAAGTATGCAAATTCAGTTTGCACCACACTCTGGAGGGAGCCCACTAGCATTGCCCGATGCTATAAGAACCAGGTGGTCTGAAATGAAGCCCTGTGGTTCTGAGTGTTTGACCTCATAGCTCCTACTTTGAAACCATTTTTGTTTTCTCTGTGTAGCATGAAGTGGTCTTTCATTGAAATCCACTTTCAACCTCTCTAAGGCATAGCAACAATAGCACTCACCATGAGCAGTGCTAAGAGCACCACAAATGCCAATTCATTAAACTCTCACGGCCACCCTATGAGTTAGGTGTGCTATTATCCACGTTTCACAGACTGAGATATTGAGAGCTGAAATAATTTGCCCAAGGTCCCTTAGCCAGTAAATGGTAGCATTTGGACCTGAACCTAGGCAAGGTGACTCCAGATACTGGACATTTACTTTTCTACAGTGTTACATTATTTCCCCTTCGGGTAAACTAAGGCTTCTTCCAACCCTCCTTAGGTCAACTGTATGCCCATGGTGTGTAGCTTCTGCTTTAAGTTAGATGGTCTCAGAATACTCTGCAAGGTAGGAAGACACCACAGTGGTCTGCAGCTCTGTCCCATCCTTACCATCCTTCTTTGTGTTCTGGAAGCCATTCCTCTCCTGACTCCCTCCAGGTGTGGAGTTAGCAATTGTTATGGGCATCTGAGAGGAGGGAACCTCAACTGAGAAAATGCCTACATAAAATGTGCCTGTGGGTGAGGTTGATGAGCCCTTTGTGGGTGGGGCCATCCCTGGGCTGGAGGTCCTGGGTTCTATAAGAAAGCAGAGCGAGTAAGCCATGGGGAGCAAGTCAGTAAGCAGCATCCACCATGGCCTCTGCATCAGCTCCTGCCTCCCGGCTCCTGCCCTGTGAGTTCTTGCCCTCACTGCGTTTTGTGGGAACTGTTGTGGGGAACTGGGAGTGAAATAAATCCTTTCCTTTCCTCCCAAGTTGCTTTTGGCCATGGTGCTTTTTTCGTGGCAATAGTAATCCTAATTAAGACAGACTCTTTAAAAACAAAAACAAAAACAGGGTTTCATTTGGTAGCCCAGGTTAGCCTAGAACTTATTATGTATCCATATATAGCACAGGATAGCCTTGACCCTGAGATAATCCTCTTGCCTCAGCTCCCCAAATGCTGGGATTACAGAAAGAAGCTACCATATCCAACTTGATTTAGATCTCTAACGTCCCCTCAGTTCTCAAATTCTAAAGATTGGGTCAACAGCCCATGGCTCTCCATGGTGATATTGTGTGCTGACACAGGGTGACTGTAATGACAAGCATGACAGACATCCAGTGACCCTAGATTCGACCCTGGAACCACGAGGAAAAGTAAGTCTTCCCCTTTTGCATTGATTTTCTCAGGCATTTTGTCACAGCAATGGGAAGTTGGCTCAGTAACAGGTCTCTGTTGGTGTCAGACAGCAGAATAGTCCCTAAAAGTGTCTGTTCTGTTCAAACTTAAGGTGTCCTTTTTTGGTGGCAAAATAGATTCCACAAATGTGAGCCCAGGAAAGGTCTCCCAGTGGAGACAATCAGGGACTATTCGGGGATAGAGAAGGAGAGTGTCTTTTCCTTTTATCTACTCTGTGTTCACTGGAACCCCTGTATGGAAGGACAACCTGTGTTAGCCAGTTTTCGGTCACTCTCCCGAGGACCGGAGATGAGCAACTTACTAAGAGGCAAGATTCATCTTGGTTTCTGTCCATGGTTGTTGGCCCTGTTGCTTTAGGTCTGTGTCGAGGTGGTACTTCATGGCAAGGATACATGGTGGAGGAAGTTGTTTACACCAGTGTCCAAGAAGAAAATGATGGACAGGAAATGGGGCAAGGGTCCCACCTCCCAAATTCCAATTTCATTAGGTTCCACCACTTACCAATGTCGCCATCTGCTGGGGACCCAGCCTTCAAGCATGGCATTTGGATATGCCAGATCCCAAAACACCACCCGTGTTCACCTACTTTAGATGAAGAGGGTTAGGCAGTGGTGATGCAAACCTTTAATCTCAGCAGAGGCAGGCAAATCTCCGAGTTCAAAGTCAGCCTGGTCTACAGAGTGAGTCCCAGGACAGCCAGGGCTACACAGAGAAACCCTGTCTGGAAAAACAGATGAGGAGGATGAAGGGCTTAGACCAGTTGACTCTTTGAAGCAGACTTCAGGGGCTGTCAGACACCAGAGAACACCTGGAAAGCCTCTTGGGTGAGTTTACAGACAGGGGTGGAGCACAGGCCAGGCTGGGAGAGAGAAGCTGCAGGCTAGGTGAAGCCAGACAGTGAAGAAATGGGTTCCTCTTGGTAGAGCATTTCTCTAGAGAAGGTGAAAAGATTGTCATGTTTGGATGGCGAAGGATGGGTGTGTGGGTTTGGGAATCTGTTCTGCGTGGTGACTGGATCATTGTACTTTTCCAGTCCGGGTCTTCCTTCCAGACGGGTAAGGTGTTAAAAGGGGCTCTGTGGTCACTCGTGGGAACATTACCAGTGTAGCTCAGCCTTTCCCTCTAGAGCTCCTAGCAGCTGCCCTCACGATCTTCCCACAGAAGCCCTACGAGTTATTGTAGGGAAATAATGAAGATGTTGACAAGTCAGGACCGCAGCTGAGTATGCACAGGTATGGCCCAGGCTGTGCAGTGTCACCGTTTGTCCCATTTCCCATGAGTCGACTCTAGAGCTTCATGCCTGCCATGATTCATGCAGCTGATCACACGTGTCCCACCACACTCGTCACCTCTGTGCTTGGCTCCCCTGCTATGTTTAATTCTTCAAGCTGATGTCTCTACTCCCTGCCATACTGACAGCAAATACAAATTATTCCTCCTCTTTCCATTGGCTCTGCAGACACCGAGCCTCTCCTTAAGTGAGTGTTCCAGGAGCCGGGCTGTCCTTTAGGGAAGGCTGCTTTGCATTCTGTGCAGGTCAAGCTGTCAGATGACGCACCCCCAAAACATCTGACCCACACATCATGGGAGACCCTGAGCCAGCACCATTATCGTCATGATTATCAGAAACTGATAAAGGCTTGTATAAACCACATGCTTGGAGTTAACTTGCTGCGCAACAATAGAGAGCCTACAGGCTCTCGGGTTTGGTTCTTTTACAAGCCTATTTGAACATCACACATACGGGCCTGACTCTAGACACTGGGCAAAGGCATGCAAAGATGAGTCCAATAGGTGCATGTCTAGTTCCCAGGAGCTGAAGCTGCCCCTTAGGAGTTCTCTTCCTTCTCAGAGATGGAAGACATGCTTTGCATGGTTCTGTGAAACATGCCCTGTTTCTCCAAGTGGCCCCAGAGCTTTCACAGTCTTGAAGAACCCTATCAAAGACTTCAGAGGATTGCCCTAATTCCTACTGAAACACATTCCTGGCCCTACCAGGGTCTAACTGCATATCTCTGCCAAGAACCCACACATGTTTACACATAAATTGATGCAGAAGCAAAGCACATGTGCCTAGGCCCAATTAATTACCAATAGTTAAGTAATAATAGCTTTGCTAGGTGATTCCCTTGACAAAGAAAAGGCATTCTCTGATTCTTCAGGAACCCATAGCAGAACCACTTGAATGAAGCTGCATAGGAAACAGAAAAGGCTTCCAAGGCTCTGGAAGGATCGGGGGCAGGCAATTACTAACACTTAGGAAAAGGTCTTTGGTACTGAGACGTGAATGTGACCCTTTAAAGGGATTTTTGTAGCAGTTTGAGAACCATTACTCTTGCCCTGGGTAGCACAGCAGGAAGCAGTGCGGAACTTCTGATCTTCAGTATCATACAATGCCTCGTGGACTCTCCAAGCCTAACAAAAGCACCAGATAATAACAAGTGCAACTAGAGACATCCACGGGTGCCCTGAACACCCTGTGGGTTCCGAGGAAAGGTTGGAGTTGAGTGCTCTTTGGCAGGTGAAGTTAGGGCCAAGATTTCTTTCCTTGGCAGGCTTTGTTACAGGTACGTATGAAAAGTGAATAATACAATCTGGGCTCTGAAGCAAGCGGAATTCACAGACAGGCAAATTCTCTATCAGTAAGAGCCCTCGGTGTTTATTTGCCCTCCAGATTTGTTTATCAGTGATGGGACTGAAAGGACTCCCCCCCACACACACACAGGGCAGGCAGAGATTTCTCAACACACGTTTCCACTAACCGGGTCTTAGGTTCCTTATTCTACAGCAAGGGTGCTTATAGCCTCCTCCAGCTAAGAATAAACACACAGAGATAAACAAGCGAGCCAACATGTGGGCATCTGCCTGTCACTATGAAGAGAAACTGTCACTTTTTAAAAGCCCACAGATACATATTAATACAATATTTTATTAATTCCTTGAGAATCTCATGCACAGTATCTCAATCATATTCCCCCCACTCCTTCCCCTAACTTTCAATCACCCCTCCCAAATTTATGACCTCTTTACTTTTTTTAAAACAATCCCCTGAGTCTAGTGTGTGCTGCTCATATATCATAGATGTGGGGCTATCCAAAGAAGCGAGGCCACATCCTTAAAGAAAACTGACACTACCTCTCCCAAAAGCTGTCATTTGTATACAGTGCCTTGGTAAGGGGTGGGAGGTCATGGGTCCCTCCCCTGTCATGCTAGAATGTTGGCTGCTGTGATCCTGTGCAGGCAACCACTGCTGCTGTAAGTTCGAATGCACCTGTTCCAGCAACCATAGGACCATTCATAGATTTACATGCCATCCTTGCCCTGGGGTCATGCTGATCTTCTCTGCATCCTTCCAGTTACAGCATATGGGCTGTCAAAGTGGGGACACTCACAAGCGTATTTTAATGCTGGGCTACCTTAGTTCTTCCACAGTGAAAGGGATGAGGCGTCTGATGGGGAAGGGAATATTTCTTTCACTTGGCACTGGTGCTAGCTCAGTGGTTCTCAGCGTTCCTAACACTGGGACCCTTTAATACAGTTCCTCCTGTTGTGGTGACCCCCAACCAGAAAATTATCTCGTTGCTACTTCATAACTGCAATTTTGCTACTGTTAGGAATTGCAGTGTACATATTAGATATAGAGCATATCTGACCTGTGACCCCCAAAGGGGTTACAACCTTCAGGTGGAGAACCACTGGTCTAACTAGAGCCACTCATCAGATGACTTCCAAAAGTTTCCCAAGCCTAAGTGTGTCTGCTGTCTAAGCTTCAAGGTGCAGCTGGATGCCCACAGGCCTCTGGAAGGACAAGTCAGAGAAGGACAAGGCTACTCCCTGGCGAACTGCTCTTTCATGTGTCTACAGCAAGGCCAAAGCCTCCAGATGAACCATGAAAAGGACATCCCCCCTCATTTGGGGTGGCTGATGCCAAACATCTGGATGTTATATAATAAGCCATTTGGGGCTGTTTTTCTTGCACTTGTAAAAATCATCCCAACAATGAAATCTTGATTTGGAGCTCTGTTTTCATGTTGTTTCCATACGGTCATCGAGCAGGGCAGTCTCGGTGATTTTTCTTTCCCATTTAAAGCCTTGCATGCACACTCAGGAGAGGGATTACAGAGCTGGAACCGACATTTGCAGGTGACTGTGAAGCCTTCCTCAGGCTCCTCATATGTCCCTTCTTTGGTCACAGTGCCTGATGTCCACTGGAAGAAAGACCAGCATGCTAATATTCACAGGCATTGGTGCCCTATGCTCTGGAAAACACCTACCTCTGGACTATGGGTGGGTTCTACACACAAGTACATGACACTAACAACTTGAGCAAATTCTATTTCATTCCCTACCTTTTTGCAGAACACCCTGAAGCAGACAATGGGTTCTCGTGCTTCCCATGTGCTTAGACCACAGCTTGCTTATAATGCTGCCAAGCACAATGTATTGCCACAAGGAGAGAGCAGCCTGGCCCTTGCTGTATCGTATGCTCTTTTGATGGGCGCCACTCCTGCCTACTGTCTCCCTGCTTCTCGTCTTCTTCCATGGGTCATGTGCCACCATTCACTTTCCCTGTGTAGTGGTCTCCGGAAAAAATCAGTGAAGTACATATGAGCATCACTGTGACTCTGAAGAGCGGCTGTCACATCTTGAAAGCCCACAAGCATCCTGTAATGGTGGGCTCATTCTCTCCTAGAGGAAAAGACTGCTGTGGAGAAACTGAGGTTCAAGAGAGCTAAGAGCCAAGAGTGGTGGTACAAGTCTGCAACCCCGGGTGTCAGGAGGCTTCAGCTGGAGGGTTGGGAGTTCTAGGCCAATCAGAGCTATACAAGGGTGAGGCTGGCCTCCCAACAGCAGCAGTTGATGAACGTTAAGAAACATGCCTTTCTTTGTAGTTGAGCTGGGACATAATTCAAGTCTGCCCATGGAAATGACACAGTAGAAAAGCCAGTAAGATCTTTGCTTTGAGCCAGGCAGTGGTCGTGCACACCTTTAATCCTAGCAGGAGGCAGAGACCGGCAGAGACCTGTGAGTCAGACACCAAAGCAAGTCCCAGGACAACCAGGACTGTTACACAGAGAAACCCTGTCTCCAGAGAAACCAACCAACCAACCAACCAAAGATCTTCACTCCGGGAGGCAGTGGGTCTGGGTGCAAACTCGACTGTAACTTGGGGCAACTGTTTCCTGAAACCTCCTCTGGTCAATGAAGACAATAACATGATCATCTCCACAGGGCTCTGTGAGGAAGACAGAGTGAGTGTGAAATACTGGGTTTTAGTTTCTCTGGTGCAAAGTTTCTCTGATCATTAGAACTCAGCTCCATGTTACAAAACCTGCAAAGAGTTACTGGAACCAGAGAGATGCTTATTGGTAACTAGACAAGAATTCTGAAAGCAGGTAGTTCCAGCCCAGGCTTGGTGACTTAATGATGTTGCCGTGTCCTGTGTGGCTGGGACTTGACCTGATTGGGGTTGATGAGGGAGTAAAGGAAAGACTCTGAAGTGACAGACACAAAAGGGCTGAGGTCAGGTGGATTGTGTGTACTTTGATGGAGTGGTACCAACAACACGGAACTTCAGCCTGTTTACTATGTGCAGCATACAGGGGCGGGGTCAGCTGGCCCCTATAGGAAGTCTCTGTAACTGGGCAGTCTTAGGCTGTAAGCATCTGCAAGAAGGAAACTACCATTGTTAAGTTTTGCAAATGCTGGCAAATTGTTTGTAAATGCAAGCACTTGGACACACTGCAACATTTGAACATTTGAACCCAAAGAGATGATGGGAAGACTTGGCCAATTCCTGCCTTAGATTGCTCGTGGGTTTTTTTGTTTTTGTTTTTGTTTTTAGTACATAGCTGCCCTGCTTACAGGTAGATTTGATTACCAAAGAACAGTGTGTTGCTGCTTGGTGAGCATGCCACAGTGACAGGGGGTCTTGTTCCAAGTTGGGGGGGATTTGAAGCTGTGAGAACCAGTTACCAGCAGAACTGTCAGGAAGCTGGGACCACACTTACTTACACAGAGACCCACTTGTAACTGCATAGCTAGAGGCTCCTCTGGGTCTATACTCATGGTCTAGGCTGCAAGTCCTATTTCCTCTAAGGCTTGTGGGTATTTGCTGGAGTGGAGGGGTACCTGGTAACGAAACTACAATTGCTGTCAGAGATGACGGAGAACTAATCCTCCCATAGTACAGTCTTCCTAACCGTGCCTTCCATTATTCCTAGGATGCTCTGGTCTCATATACCCCAGTACACTTCATCTGCATTCTCTCCTTCCATCGCCCCTGTCACTGGAACTTCCTGGCTTTCATAGTAAGGCCCTCCAGTGTAGGAAATGTCCTAGCATTCTGAAGAAAGCCTGGTTATTCTGTGGTTTATGTGCAAGCTACCAAGTCACTCGCTTTGTGCAAAAGGGAACCGATGTATGAATACAGAGAAGTAGAAGACACCCATCGTCTCTTTCTTGATCGTTTCACATGAAGAGCAGGCATAGGAAACCCTTTTTTTATGAACATGTGCTTCCTCCCAGCAGGATTTCCCCATTTGGAATTACATCTAGATCCAGATTTCAGCCACAGAAGAAAGTCAACCTCATCTGGTCACAGTGTTCCCTGTCTCCTTTGACCAAAAAGGGTTCCTTTTCCGGGCCCTCTAAGTTTGATGGCTGGTGACACGTCAGACTTCAGATCACTGCAGGTGGTTCCAAAGATCCTACTGGCCCTCCTGAAGAGCAGTGGTCCGCACTGAAGGAGGTAATGGGAAGGGGATTTGGCAGATGGTTCTGAAGGGGATTCATGAGAAGAAACACCCCGCTCACCCCGCCCTCACCCCCCCTCACCCCCGCCCTCACCCCCGCCCTCACGGGGCAGTGCAGCAAATCAGGCACCCCGAGACACAGTGCAGCAGGCGAGGCTCCAACTGTCTATGCAGCTGCGGGGGGAGGGCTGGACCTGGCTGGAAGTTGGGCCAGGTTTGGTCAAGGATAGAATAAGGACTCGCAATGGACAAAAACTGCAGTTTCACAGCTAGACTCGGGAACATGAAACACGGATTCAAATATCAACTTCACTCTTATTAGCTGCAAAACATAGTCACATTTCTCAGGTGCCCATGGTTCAGCTTCCTTAGAGTAGGACTAAGAAGGCCGATCCCTCAAGACCAGGAGGAGTAAGTAAGTGAACTGATAATGTAGGTAAGACACTAACCATAAGGTCCACTACTGTCACCATCCTCCACCCCACAGTTGAATAAAAATAAATAAATCTCACCGAATGGCCTTCCAGATCCATCTCGGGATTTGTGAACTGTGTTTTAGCCCTTACAAAGTATAGTCCAAACAATCTGAGAAACTTGACCGCTGCAATGACTTCTCATGCTCGTAGGCCGGCTGGGGTGTATGAGCTGGTGGTGGGGAGTGTTAGCCTTGTCATAGCCTGGGACAACATACCTTAGGTGGGAAACTTAAAGGATAAAAATGTACTCACTGCCCTGGAGGGTGGGAATCCGAAGATCTGGCATATTTGGGGTCTGCTGAGAGCCCACTCCTGCTGCACAGGTGATGTAGTATGGGCGGGTCCTCACGGGGCAGAAGGGGGCAAGACAACACTTCTCAACCACCTCCTTTATAAGGGCACTGGTCCCTTAACCATGACTGAATCACTTCTCCAGTGGCCCCACCCCTTAATACAACCACACTATATATTGGGTTCCAGCATGAATTAGGGAACGGGACAGCAATGTTTAAACCACCGTAGGTCTGTTAGGTTCAACTGCATCTACTGTTGGCATGCCTGGGCAGTGAGGGGTGGCAATTCATGCATGCTGGCTCTTACTCTTGGGGGATAATCTTGTGAGGTTTTCAATTCTCTTTCCCATTGCTGAATGCCCCCTAGCTACTGTTCCTTGGCATGTCAGCCTATGCCAGGAGGCCACTCACTGTGGCAAAGGGGTCCTGGTGCGTGGTGCTTCACCTGCTTGGAGCGGGGGCTGGTGCACCTGTGCTGCGCTAACTCGTGGGAGCAGAGTCTGTTTGGCACCCGCCCCCAAGGCAGGCAGCTGACACCGTGTGTCCATGGTTCCCAACGTCCTGGGCACACCTGTAAGTCTCTACAAGGATTCTCTGGCATTCATTCAGCTCTGCAGAATCCGTTCTGTTTCCTGCTGATCTCTCCTTGGTCTAGTCTGGAAATGAGGCATAGCGACATCCTCCAAGCAAGATCCAAGAGACAGTTAGTCTACACCTCTCCTGGGAATGGAGGCAGGAGAATATAGCTATAGCAGGCCCCGTCATGGGCTCAGCAAAAATTGCAGCAGTCAACCACGCAGGGCTCCTTTTGGGGGTCCTGTCGGATGCAGACGAATGACACTTTAAAGCAGACTAAAGACACTGGGAAATTACCTGAGAGCAGCTCGAAAGGGCCTGTCCAAGGGGCAGATCTGCAGCTGCCTTGTGGAATCTCAAGTGTTTCCTATTCCTGCTCCACACGTTAGCAATGCAGCCAATTACTAAATACTAGCCGTGCCTTCTGCCTCCCCCAGACCAGCATCACTTGAGCCAGAGACTCCTCAGAACACCCGATTAAAAAAAGAAAAGCAGAGTGGCAGGTTTGTGCCTATGAGAGACGCGAGCTTAGACAACAGAAAAGGGGGCAGATGAGGATCCCCCCCCCGCGCCCCGAACAAGAACGAGAACGAGAAAAGAGAGGGGAGGAAAGGCAGGCAGCCTCCAGGACTCGCTTAGGCCTCACACTAACCGAGGACGCCTGGCGCCTGCGGCGGGGTCAAATGGGGTCAGACAAGCTTATCCCTCCGCCTGGGAATTAAGGGCATCCTGAGGACAGCTGCAGAGCAGGAGGCTCCTAGGCCCTCCCTTTCTAGGCAGGTCGAGATCCATGGAGAGGGATCTCTCTCGATGTGGCAGTGGTGGCATGTACCTTTCGCCCACTCAAAGTGACGCCGGGCTTCGTGCAAAGCCCAGACGAGAGACAAAGAATAACTGTCAGTGCTGTGTGCCTCCTACAGAATTGATGCTTCGTGTAGGATCCCTAAAGCTAAAACCAAACACTAACAGTCTTTGAATCTGTGACAGCTCATTCTCTCCCGGTCCCCAAAAGTTCCTCCGAGTTCGTGCCAACAAATGCCGTCCTTGCAAAGCCCCAAAACCACCTGGGATCACGGCGGGTTCCCCCGGCTTGCCCCGAAGACCTCAAGGCCCTGCGCTTCTCCTCGCAGACTGGAAAACTTTTGCTGGGCAGGGTTGCGCTGGCGCGGCGAGGGGCGGGTGAACGCGCAGCGCGGCACTGCCACCTTGTGGCCGGTGGCAGCATCGCTGACGACCGCTCGCAGCACCCAGCGCAGGACTCGAGCCTGGGGCCAGGCAGCTGCTCACGTCCGCAGAAACGCGCCGGGCTTGCAGGAGCAGGGGCGGGGCGTACCGGCGCCGGTCACGTGGGTTAGCAACAGGCAGCAGCCAATAGCGACGCGAGACAGGCGGCGCGTGCGCTCGGAGGCACGGGGAAAAGGCGTGGAGGGCCTGCCTCTGCCCGGTAAGCTGGCTGGGGCTGCGCCTGGGGATTTGTGGTTGATCTTCAGACCTGGCTGTGGAGCTGGCAGGCCAGATCTTCAAACTAGGATGTCTCCTTGCACAGCAGAGAGTCCCCCAGGGGACAGTGAGCGAGTGAGAGGCAGGCAGAAGGGACATCACCGTCGTCCCCCTGCATCAGCCACTTGTTGCTTTGCAACAAGAGACTGTCACTTAGATTATTTTACAGGATTTAAACAGAATAAGGGTGATCCTGGCTGTCGGTGGTTCAGTCCCTTTGCACTTCTTGTAGCAAATGGGTGTTGAGCCTTCACAAAGCCTAAGGACTAGTTAGAGAAGAACAAAGAGAAAGCCAGGAATTAGGTCACAGTGAAAAAAGTCAACTTAATTGGTTTTAATTCTCTCCATTGGAAAAGCCACATCCAAAAGTACAAATAATGAATTTTATGGTAATCCTGCCATATTGACATAAACCAGCCCACCCTTGAACGCTGCACTAACCGACCACACTGCAAAATGTCAGTCAGGGGTGGGGACCAGAACGGTCTCTGACAAGCCCAGTCTGCCAGGGGTTCACAGGGTTCTCCCATCTGAGCCCATTCTTGAGAATGGCATCTCTCCCCCTCTACCTCCTGGCCAGGGTTCCATTTGCTTTTTCATCCTCTGAAACAAATCCAGGATGGCCCAGATGGCATCTACCCCATTCCTCTCCTCCAGGGCACTTTGAGTGACATAGTAAGATGTGGTAATGGCCCGGCCTCCAGGATCTAGCCACCTTTAACGTTCCCTTGTGTTCTGTTCTTTGATAGCCAGCTCAGATTGCTAACCACCCAACTGTGGGTAATTCCTAGTCCCTGATGTTTATCTTTTTCTCTTTAAGGTCATTCAGGGTCAGATGACCTCAGAGGGTGATGGAAATGTTGAGAACAGAGAGCGGTTTGCTGGGGTCTACCAAGACAGCTTCCCTGAGACTAGCTGTGCCCTACCATCTGTAGACCTCACTCTTTCTAAAAGTTTCGTTTGAGTCAGAGACAGCGTCCTCAGAACACCGGATTTAAAAATAAAAACACAGGCTGCCAAGCTTGTGCCTTCGGGAGAAGGGAGGTTAGACACTAGAAGGACAAGAAGGGAAAACAGGAACAAGGAAAAGGACACCCAGCCTCCAGACTCTCCTGGGCCTCACACGAAAGGTGCCGCTTGACTCGTGCAGCAGGGAGCAAGTGGAGTCAGACAGCTAATCTGACTCTGGGCAAATGGTTTCTCTTTCTTTATGAGGGCCTTGACACCTGAATTTATCAATCACTTTGTATAACAGGCCCTATAGACTCACTAAATCCTGCCTAGTAATTATGTTTTTGCAAATTTGATTTTTTTAATTTGTTGCTGCTGTTTTTAAGTATGATACTCCCAAGTTCCTGGCTGGGATGTACATTTCGTTTGAGACTATGAATATGTATTGAGTTCTAAGTAGCAACTCCCACATAGGTACTAGAGGATAGCATGGCAGCAAGAAACTGGCAAACTGAGGCAGATTCCTGAAGGCAAAAGAGCAGGGATCACCCTGCTCCCTAGTCAAGCGCCAAGCTGCCTCCCCAGACTGGTCTGGTTTCCCCAGCTCCTGCCTCTGGTCTTCTAGGGGTTCCTTTGATCAGAGACCAACACGACGACAACGCCCCTGTGTTTAATAGTTTTAAACACTGGGGTCTGATCTGAAGAGTCCTGGGCTGGGAGTAACAAAGGAAACAAACTGTGCCTGACTCCAGCCCTGGCTCTGGCCTCTGGCAGAAATCCCCAGCCCTCAGCACATTCTGACAGCCCGAGCTTCCCTTTCTTCAGCTCCAGCATAGGATGGAGCCTCTTGCTTGGCAGCTGCACCAGGGATGGGACCCAAGGTTCCAGTGTTCTCATCTACAAATTGAGGAATGTGAACTAGATTTATAGTTTGGTGAGTTGGTTTTTTTGTTTGTTTTGTTTTGTTTTTCCTGTAGATGAGTCCAAAGAGAAAAAAAAAAAGGTCATGTAAAATCACAGCACTCGAAGCAGGCAGATTTACTTTACGTACCGGAAGGCAGAGGACTCTGAGTCCTCCCATGCCCACTCCTAACTGTTAAAAGGCCCCTGACGAATCTGTGTGGAACCCCTGGGTTCCTGTGAACACAATTTGAAATTCCTTGTGCTGGAGGACACACACAGGGAGGTCCCATCTCGAAAACGCTAGAGGCCAAGATCTCCGAGCTCTGGGTGTTTTTGTGATAAGCAGGAACCCCAATTTCTTTCTTCAAGTATTGCTAGGTGACAGGAAACAATCTCACCAGCTCTATGAAAGCCAAGAAGGATTTCCCTACTTCCTGCCCAAGTGCAAAGCCCATGGCTGTGCCTGAGAATAAAATTAGATTTTGGTGGAACATCACATGCTATCATGAGAAAAACACCACACTGGGAATGCCTTTAACTGGTCTGGTAACTTTGATCACGTTATTAATGTGCTCATATCTAGGAAATAAGGAGGCTGAGTAACTAATCCTGGGGGGGGGCAACGATTCAAGTCCCTAATGAGTTTCTTTTTCTTCTCTGCCTCAAGGATGGGCTTTGATTACCCTCTGTAATGTGTGTATACTCACCCTGTTTGGAATAGGGGGAATGAGCAAAGAGACAAATTGGGTTGTAAATGACACACCAGAGCATCGAACTATAAACAGAAACTGAGCCAGTGTTGTGTTTGCACAGGTGGTTTGAGTTCACTGTAGGCCTTGACCTCAACTCAGTGGGCAGGACCCCCATCTCCAGTTCTTAGGGATATTCAATGTGTGTGAGTGGGGGGGGGGGCGTTTGTAAGGGCAAAAGAAATCCAAGAATACTCCAGAGTTTGGAGAAATTTTAAAAGAAACCGCCTGGGCTAAGGGCCTACGGTTAGGCCGCTGAGCCACACACACCCGCTGTGTGATAGTCATTGTCTCCAAACACAAGTTCTACAGAAAAGTGACTTTAGGACCAGACTCAAGAACAGCAACTCTGCTTGTGGTAATGACTTGGTTAGTAGTTAACTTTATGGGTCACTGGGTGTCTGGAGACAGACTATAAAGAAAAGAAAGGGTGACCCTAGAGCTTTGTGTTGGAAATGACTGTGACCAGTTGCTTCTGGAATGGGGCTGGACTGACTGCAGGAAACTTTGTAGGCATGACACCTGTTTGTTCAAGTTGGAAATGGAAGTAAACTTCGGACCCAGTCACTGTGTCTAAGAGGGGAAGCAGAAGAGATTCTATCCCAAACCGGAAGCAGTGTGGCCTCCAGTGATGTCCAGGATCTGCCTTTCCTGATGTCCCAGTGAGAGGGGCTCAGCTCGTGCCTGTTGTTTAATCTCCTCATTTTGAAATTAGAAAGCACTTAAAATAAAAATGAAGGACTTGGCTGTTGAGAATCTGCTATCTTGAACTGTTTCCATTTGGGGAGAAACAATGCATTCATTATACACAGTGTTAACTTCTATTCAGTCATCATTTCTAACTTTGGCATCCATCGGTTTTCCAATGATTATTTATTAAGCACATCACGTAGTTTGCTGTTAACCGAGCATACTCCCCAAAGTTGTGAATACTGAATATGCAATAAGATTCTGCCAGAAGTGCTTCAGAAAATAGACATTTTTTCCTGCTTAATTTTCAAAATTGGTAAATTGCATGCCTTCTTCTAACTAGGACATAGAGGCAAGTGTGGCAGCACCTCCCTGTAACCCTGCAACTTGGGAGGCTGATGCAGGAGAATCCCAAGTTTGATGCCAACTCTAGCTATATAGCAAGCCCCTCTGTCAAAAACCAATACTAGGAAAAATAGAATAAAACATGACAGAGAAAGTGTTGTGCTAAGCTTGGGGAGAGCTAACAGTACCTGGAGTACTGTTATCAACAGCTCCGTGGCAATGAAAACAAACGTTCCATCTCTCAGGCTCTGATAAACTAAATAGGTTGAACTAGGTGAGATTTCTGCCCACAAACACAAGCTGTAATACTGAGCCATCATCATCCGCTAGTTCTCACAACAATTCTGCCTTGTCTGCAGTACTGTTTCCCGATTTCCACGTGAGGGAACTGGGTCCAAGGTCATCCAGTGATGAAGGGGCAAGTCTAACTTTGAACTGATTCCTCCCCACATTCCAAGTTGCATGACGCAGTTCCACAATACTGAACTGCCTGGAAGAGAAAGCCTAATTCCCTTTTCCCCTACTTATTTAGGGGTGTCCTTGTCTGAAATGTTTGAGACCAGATATATTTTCTACTTCAGATTCTGGAATAGTTGCATATTTATAGCAAGATAGCTCGGGGATGGGACCCAAGATTAAACATTTGTTTCACATGTACCTTTATGCATATCCTGAAGATAATGTATACAACATTTTTAATGCACCTGTGTTTTACCTGTAACTCATCACTTGAGGTTAGGTGTGGAGCTTACTACATGTGGTGTCATGTTAATGCTCAAAAAGACTGAATTTTGCACTTCTGGACACATTAGTTACTTTTCTGTTGCTATGGTAAAGCATCATGACCAAGGCAACTTATGGAAGAAAAAGCTTATGTGGGGTTATGGTTCCAGAGGGACAAGAGCTCATCACAGCAGAGACAGCATGGCAACAGGGGGCAGGTATGGTGACTGCAGCAGCCAGACAGAGCAAACTACAAAGAGGCAAGGCTTTTTATTGTCAAAACCAGCTAGCAGTGATAGATTTCCTCCAGCCAGGCCACACATCCTAAACTTCACAAAACAGCACCAACAGCTGGGGGACCAAGTGTTCAAATGCTTGAGACTATGACGGACAAGTATTACTCAGACCACTACACTGAGTTCCATTGCCACCTGGATATCCTTGGAGTTACCAACAGACACCACAATACCTTGACCAGTGCTCGCTAAGTTTCCAGGACCCTCCCAAAAGAGACTGAGGAAACAAGAAGTAGAGGCATCTATTAGACAGAAGGAAGGTAGCTCCGAGAGATGATGTGCTGTCACCTACCACAGATGAACTGGACACTAGATGCTTAGTGACTGTGACCAGTTTTTGAAATCCGTAAGGGAATCAGCACCCAAGAAAAATGGTTAGGAGTGGCAAGAGGTTCAGTGATGTCTGGACAAGACCTCCCTGTTGTCACTTCATCTCACAGAGCTCCTCCACCATGCCTGGCTTCAGCTGTTCAATCAAGACAATGGCATGTGTGATGCAAAAAACAAAAAACAAAACAAAACAACAGCAACAACAACAACAAAACTGTACTTGAACCCTGCCCAGAAAATCGTGGTGGCCCAAACAAACTCAGGATAGTCTGATACTGTTTCTGGCTTCCCTAGACCTGAAGTCATTGCTCCTCTATGGACACTGCAAAGCGCCCAAACCCCTCTGCATCAAAGAGAAACCTATTTAAGAACTTCATGCAGAGTGACTAATGACTCAGAGTCTCGGGGATGAGACTACCCCATTGGTACAAGAAGGATCTAAAAGTGTTACCTCTACATCCACAGACCTTCATGGATATTCTGGTTTTCCATTTATCTAAAACAGAATAGTAATTTGTCTTAAGAGTAACAAGGATTGCTCAAGGATAGACTGCACAATCTCCTCCGTGTCTTGGGGAACATACCAAGGGTTCACCATAGGATGGCTTGAGTTAGGTCAGGTATCCAAGGAACAGAAATAAGGAACACAAGTGTAGTTGTTTTTTGTTTTGTTTTTATAGATTAAAAAAATCTAAAAATTTTACTGGTTAACCTATAGTTAATGGACTAAATAGGAAATAATGAGTTGAGGAGTGTCAACCTTAAGAAATTTCACATTTTGTCATGACAATACTGGAGCTGTCAGAAACAATAAAAAGAAAATCTTTTGCATGATCAAGAAAGAGGAAGCAATTATGCATATTCTCAAGAACAAGGGCAGAAGAGTTAATTTTCGTGATTTGTTTATATTAGATCATCTTGAGTCCGTATTGTAGATATAAATTATACTTCCTGCAATAAATTCAATTTTGCGTGTAAAGATATAGTTCCCTTCCGATCTATTTTTAGTTCTTGAAAACTGTCCCACATTCTGCTGACCACAAATCTATTCTGTGAACCTCTTTATCAGCTCCCTGGGGTGACAATTAGCATTTGGAGAAGCCCTCTTGAGGACTGAGTGACTACTCCAATGGGAAGAAGACTGGTTTAAACCTGAAAGCCCAAGAGCCGATTCTAGCTCTGCCATTAAGTAGATGCAAACCTACAGATTGCTTCCCTTCTCCAACTTTGTTGTAAGAGAGGGAGCAACTCTGGGTGGTACTGCTGCTTGTAACCTCAGTACCTAGAATGCAGAAGCAGGGGGGCAAGTCTCAGTGGCATACCAAGTTCAAGGCCAGCCTTGACCCTGTCTTAAAGGAGAGGGGGAAAGAGAAAGGAAGGCAGAAGAATCAGGTGATACCTTTTTAAGATTCCATCGTGGGCAATTCTCATGAACAAAAGCAGAATCTTGGCCATATGGTGACATCAGGTCTTGTAAGGAGTCAGGCATTATGCTGGCCTGCCTCTGTCACCTGGCAGAATGCACTCAGGCAGTACCCTGGTCAGGGCAGGGTGCAAGGACCCCTTTAAAAGAAAGACCTCCACCCACTTCTGCTCTTTCTGCTCTCTCTTTCCCTCTCTTCATTCTGCTCTCTCTTTCATCTCTCTCTTTCCCTCTCTTCATTCTGCTCTCTCTTTCCCACTGTCTTTCCTGCTGTTCCCCTGGGGGCAGACAGGACTTTCCCTCTTCTCTTCTGTCCTCTCTGTCTCTTTTCCTCTTTTCTCTTTCCTTCCCCCTTCCTCCTCTTTCTAATAAAACTTCTCACTTAAACTCTGTCTGCCTGGTGTGTTTGTCCCTCTGCCTCGGTCACCCTTGTCTGCCATGGAATCCGCCAAGGTCCCCATGAGCTTATTCCTAATACTTGGTGCTGTGACTCTGTCAACAGGAAGTAGTCTTGAGAACACGGCATCCTCATCCCCGCCTTGCACTGACCTGTCCATGGGTTCTGACAGGATACGCCCTCAGCTGAAGCCACTAAGAGCACCACCTGTGCATATGCACTATGTTCCTTTTAAAAGGGCCCTGCCCACCTCCCATCCCTCTCTCTCTGTTCCTCTCTCTCTCTCCTACTCTTTCCTCTCTTCTGCTGCTTCTGTCTCCGTAGGCCAGTCTCCCCCCTTTCCCCTTTTTATGATCCCTGCCCCTAATTAAAAACAAAACCCTCTGCTTGAACCCTGTATCATGGCATCTTTCTCTCATGCATTACTTTTCTTAAACTACAACAGGTCTACTCAGACAATTGCCAAGGACTGAGGACTGGAAACTGAGTCAGGGTCCCTGAAATCAAACACGGGAGAAAGAACCGGAGGCAAAGACTGCCATCTAATTCCTAGGAAATCACCGCGGATTCCAGGGAAAAGGAGACATTCCTGGGTATATGCTAGAGCACAGAAGAGTAGGACAGTGGATTCCTGGCATGACATTGGCAGAATGATTCATCATCCCTTGATTCAGCCAAATAGATTTTCATCATTTTATTTACTCATGTGTGTGTTAGTCTGTGTGTATATGAATATATTTGTGTGTATATGTGTCTATCTACTGGGTTCTATGCCTCTGTCTGTCAGAAATAGTGGGGACACAAGGACTTATAAGGAGATGATTAAAACTCAGAAATGTTCTAGGATGAGGAGTGACTTTCATATTTATTTATTTGTTGTTGTGAGTATGTGTATGATGTATATATGGATATATATATGTGGGCATATATACCATAGAATGTACATAGAGACCAAAGAACAATTTTGTGGAGTCATTTTTGTCCTTCCACCTTCATGTGAGAGTTCTGGGGTTCGAACTCAGGTCATTAGGCTTTCACTGTTGAGTAATCTTCCCTAGCCCCTCACATATTTTGAAATGCTTAAAACTTACAAACTGAATGTTGTTTCTGCTCCCTGCACACCTAGCAACTGATGGCCAACAATTCAATGCTATTTCAAGGAAGGAAGCTTCATCAGAGTTGCACAGGGATCCTCATGGTCCCAATTATGTTTTCTGTTGCTGTGCTAAAGACTATGACCAAAAGTAACTTAGGAGGGAAAGGAATAATTTCATGTTGTACATTATAGTCCATCATAAAAGGAAGTCAAGGCAGGAACTCACAGTAGGAACTTGGAGGCAGGAACTGAGCAGAGTCCATGGAGGAGTGCTGCTTACTGGCTTGTTCCTGATGGTTTGCTCAGCCCACTTTCTTATATGTCTCAAAACCACTTGTCCAAAGCGTAGCAATACTCAATTCAGGTTCCCTCTTCCCAAGAGACCTTAATTTTTTCTGAGCTGATAACAACAAACAAAGAAAACAACAACAACAACAACAAAACCAGCACA